AGCTGCACTACAGGACTTTTAGCAACCAGGAGATCACAAGGGGGCAGCCAAAAAGCCGCATGCAGCTCCAGAGCCGCAGAATGTCAACCCCTGTTCTAGTAGTTTCCACAGTCACTGAATCCAGCCCTTCTAGGGTTGCCAGATGGTTGAACCAAAAACACTGAACACGCCCTCTGCAAAAAAAAAAAAAGAAAAAAAAAAAGACACCAGGGAAAAAATTCTGTTGAGGAAAAAAAAAGGGGAGAGGGAAGACCAAAGTTGAGGGGAAAAAAAGGGCGCGGTGAATCTGAGACTTAAAATAAATAAAAAAAAAAAAAAAAAAACACACCACAGCATGGCCCCTTTCAGAGTGAGTGCAGAGTTAGAATAGGGATAGGAACAGGAAAGGGGTTGAGCACTAAGACCCAGGGAAGGCATTGCCCCCTCTTGGTCTTTAGGCTTTTTGCATTTTTGTTCAAGCCAGAACTTCACTTCCCTGCAGAACCAAGTAAGCATTGGGTCCGGGGGCGAGGGGCTGGAGGTGTCGGGGCCCTGGAGGGGGAGGCCGGGAGCTGGGACCAGGCACTAGGGTTGCCAGGTGTCCGGTGTTTTTGCCTCCTTGCCAGGGGGAAAAAAAAAAATCAGAAAATACCGGACATTTTAGGTGTCCAGTATTTTCTGAATTTTTTTTTTTTAACCGGACAGGAGGTGAAAATACCAGTCTGCCCGGGTCAATACTGGACACCTGACAACCCAAAGCCCTTCTAATATTCGATGGTAGATCAGACAAGAAGGTTAGAAGGGCTGGATCTGTATTTTGCCCACCCTTCCTAGTAATTTTGAAAGTTTAAAACAAAATGGTGGAAAATATTTGCAATGTTTTCAATTGTGTGAATACAATCATTATGAAAGATGCCTGAGCAATAACTCTTGGAAGCAATAACTCTTGGAATGGCTTTGAAGGGCCATTTTGAACAGTGAGAAGAGAGTTTATTTTCCATGGGCTACTCAACCCTTCACCTGTGTTACTGAAGCGCTAGTAGCAAGCAACCTTGGCAGTGATTTTGGAGGAAAAGAATTGAGTCTGCAAACTCTCTTCAGACAATGCACCCACTCTCAGCCCATGGTAGTACTACTCTGCCATTAATGACCTGGGCAGCAAACTAGATAAGAAAGACTATTATTCGATTAGCAATCCTCCCACGTAGATTTATGTCATCTTTTTGGATTAAGTTCTTTTCTCTTTCAGTCATATGCTTCTACAAACGACAGATTGCCTTTGTACTGCTTCCATATCCTGCTTTTATAGGGCTATACTTGGGATTCTTTCATGCAGAACGGTTTATGTTTTATTTGAAAACAATTAAAAATACACTTGGAATCAAACCATAATTATGGGGTCAATCAGGAAAACCCAGCAAGAATGGGAGACAAAAGAGACCAAGGCTAACAATGGAGTCAGTTTACTTTAAGTAAAGGATTTTTTATAAAAGCAGGATGCGTACAATGTCACAGTTCTCCCTGTCTTTAACCTTGTCTACAAGTTACACAGGAACCCTTGAGCAACTTAGAATGAAGGCATATGCACACTAGTCTTCTAAAGAACCTAGCTTTGAAATATCAAAAACTCCACAATCACTTACCCCTATTAAGAACATAAGAACGGCCATACCGGGTCAGACCAAAGGTCCGTTTATCCTGCCTTCCATCAGTGGTCATTGCCAGCTTTCCCAGAGGGAATGAACAGAACAGGGAACCATCAAACGATCCCTCCCCTGTCATCCATTTCCAGCCTCTGACAAACAGACTAGGGACACCCATCCTGGCTAATAGCCAGGGCTCGACAAATAATACAATCGACTTGCCCATGGCGAGTAGATTGTAACCCGGAAGAGCTGGGTTCGGGCGATCTGCGCATGCGCAGAATGATCTGCACATGCGCAGATCGCCAGACAGCGCGGCTGGCGAGTGGGGCTCGCCGCAGTTCGGTGAGCCCTGCTAATAGCCATTGATGGACCTAACCTCCATGAATTTATCTAGTTGTTTTCTGAACCCTCAAAGTCCTGATCTTCACAAAATCCTGTGGCTAGGAGTTCCACGGGTTGATGATACATTGTGTGAAGAAAAACTTCCTTTTGTTTGTTTTAAACCTGCTACCTATTAATTTCATTTGGTGACCCCTAGTTCCTAGTTATGGGAACACGTAAATAACTTTTCCTTATTCACTTTCTCCATGCCAGTCATGATTGTATAGGCCTCTCTCCTATCCCCCTTTAGTCTCCTTTTCTAAGCTGAAAAGTCCCAGTTAACTATAACATTTTGAGATCTGATTAACTGTCTCCCATACTTCCACAGTGAGAATAAGGAGCTATGTATGTGCTGGCGCAATATTGGTAACTTGTTACTTGGCATCCTCGCTATTAGAAAAGGCAGAGTGACTTTTTGAGCAGCTGGATGTTTTTACATATACTAGAGTGATATAGCGGTTGCTTCTGCCCACCTCAACCTTTATCCCCTCCCCCCCCCAAAAAAGAAATAGATCCCCTCCCTATTCCCCAAACATTTTTGATTCATTTGAAAAGGAAGCGTTCATGTTTTAAGGAAGATAAATCACTCCTGGTCCATCTCATAAATCACTGCGGGCATGTCTTTCCTTCTTCACCTCCCCACATTAGCTATGCTTCAGTGAAAAGACACCCTGTCAATCAGGGGCTACAACACGATAACTCAGAGGCTGAGGATGAAGAAAGAGGGAGTTTCTCTCCTTACCAGAAAGGAAAGTGGAACAGTGGGTTGAGGAGGAAGGGATAAGTCACATTGATTTTGTGGGCATTTAGGTATTTCACTTCCCAAATAAATATTCATTTGATTCCTAAAAAAAGCCTCTCCTTTCGCCCCAGGTGCACTAAACACACCAATAGAAGATCCAGAATAAACTGGGATAGTCTGGATTCTTTGTACTGTACCATCCCTACCTAGCAGGTTTTAAAATTACCTCAGGTTTATACACAGTACCTGTTACTATGATCTCTAAGCACTGCTCAAGGGACGTCAACATTGTGTGCCGCATCGCTGTCTAGTGCGGGGCTACTCATCACGTGGCCCGTGGGCCGCATGCGGCTCGCAGCCCATTTGTTTGTGGCCCGTGGTGAGGTTTGGGTTTACGGTGGGGCTCAACACACGGCCCACAAGTGGGATTCTTTGAACGTGGTCTCCACTTGTGGAGCATGCTCCACAACGGCGAGGCATCTCCCAGGTGGGTGAGCACTGAAAGATGCAAGCGGACGGGCTGGATGGAACAGACAGGTACAGGGTGTCAGTGTTTCTAGCCCCCAGGGAGGAAGTGCCGGGAGGACCAGGGCATTGTGGGAAATGCTTTGTATTCATGCCCGTCAGCGTGAAAAGCTATTTGCATATACATTTTCATATAAATGCAACCACACTAAAGTTGTGGCCCTCGGCATGTGTTGCGAGTATCATTGTGGCCCCCGGGGCTTCCAAAGTCTAGTAGCCCTCCTCTAGCGACTGGTTCAGAAAGAGGACAACAACCTACTATTCCTGCCAGCTAACTGAATTACTCCTCTACGGTCAAGAGAGATACACCAGTGCTATGGGGCTGAAGGTGCAGATTAAAAACCTGATGCCAACCCATGGCAGAGGTCATGGTACTTCTATCCAGATTCTTAGGAAGACGACATTTAGTAGTTAAAGAATCCAACTGGGAATTCGCAAATGCAAAGCCTAGCTCTGACACGTCACTTCCCTATCTGCGGGGCAATATGCAGCGGAGTCATTTTGAGAATACAGGCGACCCAGAAGGATGAAGACTTTACAATCCCGCTCTGCCCCAGCCCAGTCTCTCAACACAACATTAGCGGCAATGCTGAACATTCTCTCTTCCCACTTCATTCACAAGGGTGTCTTGAATCGGATTCGCTGGAACAAACCCTCCTCACCATGCTATTTCTCCGGCCCTACAGATCAGAGCTAATTCCCTTCCAGCTGTCCCATTCTTTAGACACCAATGCAAGGACCCTTACTGGTCCCAAGATGCTGCAGGCTCAGGCTTTGGCTTTCATACTGGCTAAATGACACTGATTAGTGGTCTAAAACCTTTGTAGTCGTTCAACAGAGAGATGAACAAGCAGGAAGAAGCTAAGAGAATTGCAACTGCTTCAGACTCAGCCTTTCAGGCTAGAATATCATGGTTGATGAAATTAAACAAAGGATGTGCCCAGATACCATTGAGTTGGGCAGCGTACCAGAGTAAACGGTAAGTAGTAAAATGAAAGAGTGAAAGGATATAACCACATGTAATATAAATACATTTTTCTATGGTTTTGACATTTCAAAGTTCTACTGATGGAAAATATTAACAGGGATAAACCCACAAGACTCAGAATAAATCTTCATAAGAAAGGAGCTCTTTGTGTACAAGCAAAAGCGCCTGATTATTAAGCTTACTTCACTGAATAGGATATTATACTCTACCAGATAACAAGAGAATTCAACATAAAACAGGAGATGCTTTCTCTAAAAAGAAGTCCAGGCAGGTGTATTTCAATCAGAAAAAGCTACTCTCTCCTTTTAATGATGAAAAGTTGTATTTTGAACAGGTATCATTATGGGCACGTTGTTACAAAACATGCAACTGAAACGCAAAGGCAAATTGTATTGTCAAACCAGTTACCTTTTTAAAACAGTCAATTAATACTGATGGAGAAAACTGTAATCCCAGTTATTTAAAACCAAATTTAAACCGATAAATTTGCCTCTAATAAATCCCTTACTGTATTTTTTTAATCAATTGCTCTGTACATTTCTTTAGAGTCTTTAGGGAGCAGTTTTGGGAAGTCCCTGAGGGAGCCTGACTTCCCCTAACACTTGAAATACCTTATTTGAAAAATGAGTTCTGTTCATGACATCAACCTCATTACACCTCAGAGATAAAAGTTCTAACATCCTAAAGTTTCTACGGGGGCATTAGACAGCCAGATTTCAAAGAGCACACTGTCACTTACAGGTAGGTGTGTGAACACGGCAAAGGTGCTGCGCAGGAAAGCAATGAGATCTACCAGGTAATCGCTGGCTTTGCTGCCTGCTTCAGCCGCCATCCAGTCATAATCTGCCAGCTGCAAAAACTGGTCTATCTTCTGGTTCAGATTCGTGTAAATCTCTTCCTCTGCAGCGTGGCGAGCATCCTGGGAAACAAAAGCAGACTCCTTAGAACAGGACGGGAAGGCAAGTGGCTCACTCAGGCTACATCTAGACTGCAAGCCTCTTTCAAAAGAGGCTTTTCTGAAAGACACTTTCGAAAAAGAGTGTCTAGACTACCACCAGTACTTTTGAAAAAGCAAGCGGCTCTTTCGAAAGAGCACCCAGGCAGTCTAGATGCTCTTTCAAAAAAGCACAGTTTGCATTATATAGCATCTTTTTTCGAAAGAGCACTTTTGAAAAAAGGCGTTCTTCCTCGTAAAACGAGGTTTTCTGCAGTCGAAAAAACAGCTGCGTCCTTTCGATTTACTTTCGAAAGGACACGGCAGCAGTCTAGACACAGGGGAAAGCCACTTTTTTTGAAAAACCCCTGTAGTCTAGACACACCCTCAGTGTACAGCGCATGCAGTCCCATGCCTTAGGGCAAATCGCTCTACACTAGTAACACAAAACATAGTGTCACATTCATGGGTTGTTTTTCATTAGCATCACCTTTTTGTCCTACCAGCCGCGTAGGTGATACTCCATTTTCTATCAGTCTTGCTGATAATGCTTTTGCATTCTCCCATTAACAGCGCCGCTCCCCTTTTCTAACCAGGTAACACAGTGAAAGCAGGAACGGGGGTTATTCTGAGCCAGCCTGCATTCTCCCATTAACAGTGAAAGCAGGAACGGGGGTTATTCTGAGCCAGCCATGTAGAGAAATGCACTAGCAGGCCCTACAGTCAGTAGTTAAAATGAAGTCTCGAATTTTAAATGTTTTCAACACATTCTGCCGGTGATCAGCTTCTCCCCCGACTAAAGAAATGCTCGCTCATGCCCTGTGGGGACCTGTGCACATAATCCTATTCAACTGCAGTGTGAGGTTCAGACTTTCGAGACCCAATATGTGATTTAGTTCCACAATTCCTGTTGCAAAGAACCGGAGTTGCATAGCTAAATCCCCACCGGCTCTGAAATCTCTGCATTCGATTCTGCAGCCTAACACGGAACTAGTGTGCTAACACCACGGTGGCACGACAGGTACTATGTCATATACCAGTGCAAGGGAAGCAGAGACAGGGGTGCTGAATGGCAAGATCAGGAGAGGGCTATTTCTGGGAGAAAGGCCAGTGCTAAGAGGCTGCATGCAGCCTTCCCCTCCTCTCCCAACCCTGGTCATTCAATGTTGCCCCCTTCGCTCTCCCCGTCAGACGGAGCGAGATGGGCAAGGAGCAGGCCCCATAGCTCAGATTGTCTGATCTCTGCAGGGACTGGAAAGCTTCCTTGACTGACACATGGTGAGTACCGCATCCCAGCCCCCGGGCTACTGGGAACCTCTGTCCCCCAGGCTCTGACACACCCCTCCCATCCCTGCCTCCAGCTCCCGTTGCATACAAGTGCATATGGGACATGAATCTCAGTAGGAGAGGCAGGCAGGCACTCTACCAGACACCACTGAGATAAACAGAAGGGTAAGAACAAAGAAGTTACAGCAATTCCTACCTGTCCCTGGACCAGGTAAAAAAGAAAAAAAAACTTGTTTCTTTACAAATCCCTCGCCTGATGTTAAACATCTCAGATACCACCAAGGTAGGTGAAAACCAGGCCATTGTTTTGTGGCTAGTGACAGTGATCAATTGTTCTCCATGTTCACTGAAGACAGGACAAGAAATTATAGACTTAATCTACAGCCAGGGAGATTTAGGTAAAACATTGGGATTTTTTTTTTTAAACTTTCAGGGTAGCAAACTCTGGAACAGGCACCCATGGGAAAGCTGTGGAATCCCCATCCATGCAGGTGTTTAAGAACAGGTCGGAAAAACAGATGGACTAAGTTTGTTTAGTCCTCCCTCAGTGGAGGGGCTGACCACAATGACTTCTCAGGGGGGTTTTCAGCCTCACTTTTCTATGATTTCTATTGCGGTTACTACCGTCTTCTTATAACCTAGAAATTACACCTATGTAAACTCATGGCCAAGAGAGCTGTCAAACAACTGCTCAAGAACAAATGCCGACAGCTGGGATACAAGAAAACGTTGGCTTGAACTTTAGTGAACACGATCAAACTTGCTCAATTGTATCCATTGGTGTACTATAGAAAAGAAAGTCCAGACTGGTGGTGTTTTACTGTATGAGTGCAAAAAAAAACAAACCTGGCAACCGTTTTTTCCACAGCATCCTGCTATTTTGAAAGCTACATGTTGTGTCTTCCCTAGATTACTACCCTGCTGATATTAGCTCACCATTTCACAAGGCCGGGAAGCTTTGCTCTTTGAGAAATAGTCAGTGTTGTCATTTGTGTTCTCAAAAGCTTGTCCGCACACCCCGCTGAATCAGATACATATACTGTGAGGCAGTATACTTGCTACCTTTTGCTTGTATAAAGGAACTATGCACAAGGGGCTGATAAAATGCTTCAGGCATGGCAGACACTTGCTGCTGATCTGGTGGGGTGGCTTTTGAATGCTATAGCAAAAAAGAATCATATGCACGTGGAGTCCATACTAAGGAGAGACTATACCCTAACCTTTGGAACGTTATATATGTGACTAACCTGAAAGCAACTCATTGGTTTGTTTTCTTTGCTGCTTTGTGACTGTAGAGTTGATGGTAAACACTAATGGGCAGAAATGTTTGTGAAAAAAGTAGCATTAAATTAATATGAAAAACAACACCGACTTTATAAAATGTTTTAAAAGATTAGCAGAGAAGTTTCCAAACATATTCTGCATGGCAAGCGTACCTTTGGAGCATGCACAGCCCTCAAAAGCTGTACCTACCATCAGACATATTCCGCAAAACACCCCAACGTTATGATTGTCTCACCTTAAAGGTGGTGGTGCCATAGAGTTTGGTAGTATGGACAGTCTCCGGGAGCACGTTGGTGATATTGGTTATGAATTCTTCTAGGAACTTGCAGGATTTCTCCAAATGGGTTGTATTTATAATGATCTGCACCAGCTGTGAAGGCAAGGAGATGTGTTCAGGCATGGCTTGCGGTTCTAAAGCAGGGGATGTGCTGGGATTAATGGAGGTCAAGCCAGGGTGATCTGTCATCATGCTGACACTGCGCAAACATACTGTACCTTGCTGACGGCTACAAGGAGACTGACCTGTTTTAAGAGCATCTGAAATTTCAATAAAAACTCACACTTGAGAAAGTAATTTCCCATAACTGTTGCTACCACCACAAACGACTATAATTCATTTTATAAACTCTTTGTTCATTTTAGTACAGTTCAAATATAATTAAAATACAAAGGACTACAAAAGAAAACATATTTCTGGTCTGACAGAGTACCTGATAATAAACCCTAAATGCCCTTATTTTACAAACGAAGCCATGGTTGGTTCGGTGATAACTAGGAACTAATAAAATGCCTCATCAAAAGATCAGCTGAAGTTGATTCATCTCAACTATTGCAAGTCTAGGACAAAATGATCTTGCTTTTGTCTGATTCATTCAGAGATAATCATTTAACATTGCAAATAACTTTAGTTCCTTATTCACATCAGTTTCTCAGGATGGGGCCCTGTGTCTCCTTGTAAACTGCCTCACGTATTTCAGAAGCGATACAACCAATAACGGTAAGGCCAAAGAACTTTTCCATGTAACCCTGGTGTCACAAAGAAATACCTTCTGGGACATTTATGCTAATTTGCTGAAATATTGGATTTCCAAACTGACAGATTAGAGATGAAAGGAGAGTGCTTGTGCTTTAATAATTTTAGAACATTGATCTATAAGTATGCAAGATCAATTGCTTTCAAGCCTCAGTGATTCAGAAACAAGCACAGTCACATTTCATAAGATGCTACTTCCTCTCCCCCTCTGCCTGTAATCAGGTAATAACTGATTTTAACAATCCCATCATGCATCTTCACGCCAGGTTTCAGTAACATCAACTAGGCTGAAGAGATGTTCATAAATGAACAATTCCAACTCCTCTTGTTATTATCCAGGCGTCCAGCATTGGTGTATAGAGGCAGATAAATAACTTCTTCCCGGCATCTCTTTCAATGACTCGACTGATTTTAGTCTCATCAACTTGGTTTTGTTCTAAGCGAGTTCACATTTATTCCCCCTTTTCATCTTCCCTTTTTGTTAGTTTAAATTCTTCTTGATTAGTCTAGCCAGCCTGTTCTCTAGTAGCTTGGTTCCCCATCTACAGAGATGGAAGAGGTCATCCAAGCTGTGTAGTTCATACTCCCTATCAAAAGTCGACCAATGTTCCACATCAGACCCCTCTAACTTTACACCAATTACTTAGCCAGCAATTCATCTCCAGAATCATCTCCCTTGTGTCATCCTTTGTTCATGGGATAGAAAGGGTCTCAGAAGAGCTCTTGAACAGTCGTCTCCTTCAGCATCCTTCCGAGTTCCTGGAAGTCATCTATTACCTGGGAGGTATCCCGCTACACAGCGTCATTAGAGCCAATATTCACTACTGCCGGTGGATCTTTCGATCGTCTTCAGAAGCTTACCCAATCTTACTCACAAATCGCGTCTTGGCTTCTGGAAGACAGCACACCATCCCATTGTCCATTTGGGTCTTGCAGAAAGCCTTATTTTCATTCTCAGTATAAAATCCACTCCAGGATTGTCCTGTCTTCAATGGATGGTTGGAGATCTCTTTGTGGGCCAGTTTGATTGTCTCATGGGATGGGAGGGGCAGCTAGCCTTAGATACATCCCATCTGCCTTACATTCCATTCCACTAGCTCAGGCATGTCCAAAGTCCAGCCCGCGGGCCAATTGCGGCCCGTGTTCCGGTTTAATATGGCCCCCCGGGTAATTTGGCAATATCTATCTTTTATGGCCCCCAACGAATCCATATGTATTGAGATGAATACATTGTAAAATCTCAGTTAATGTCATTGGTCTAAATCAGTTATAAATATATTTGGACACAACATGTATACTTGGTGTTATGTTCCTGTTCATATTTTTTGAACTTAAAAGTTGACAGACAACCTTTATTACCAATAATATGTAATGTACTTTACAATGTTCCTGACATATATTTCAGCTTCCTGGATTTTTTTTTCATCTGGCCTTCAGATATGAAAGGCAGAGTGATTTAACACCTGTTTAGATTTGTCATCCATGTGACGAAATGAAAAGTATGCCGTTTGCAATAAACTTTGCATAAAATAGTTAATTTGCATTTAATTTTAATGGTTCAAAGAATGTCAGGCAAAATGGTCGGCCCTCACGCATGTTCACTTCATCAAATCTGGCCCTCTTTGAAAAAAGTTTGGACACCCCTGCGCTAGCTGGATCCAATTCCTTGTGGTCTTCTTCCCTGTGGTAATCACAACTTGCCTATCCTCATTTGCATCCAGACATGTAACGTGAGCCCGGTGCCTCTTGCCTCTGGATACCAGAGAGAAATCTTACCACCTCCTAAGCACCAAACACACAGGCTCCTTGATGGTCAATTCCTTTTTTTCCTTGAATCTGTAGTAATCAGGTTTTCCAAATCTGATTGTCCAGCTTAAAATAATACCTCCTTTCCCCCCCCCCCCTGTCCCCTCTATGCATTTGTTTAATCCCCCTCTTCACTGCTACAGGCTGCTCCATGGTCCTTTGTACCTGAGTGGGAGATCAAAGCACACAAGGTTTTAATTGATGCTTACTTGGAATACTGGGCAAATACGTGTTTTCATCGATGCGAATAATCTCGCCACCAACGCTGATTGTGACTTTTCCACGTCATCCTGCTTTGTGTGGTTCTCGCCCCGTCCTTCCTTGAATCTTCCATAAAGGATCCACCCAGTGAGCTGGAGGCCTTCCTCTTGTTCTTTTTACGACTCGTGAACACCAGTGAAGTATATGGGCTGTCCATCCGTTGTCTCATACTTGCTACATGGCCAGCGCATCTCCGATCGTACATAACTTGGATGCTTCTTGTGCACAAGTCATTGATAGTGACATGCTATAGCCTGCTTACACCCACCATGTGTCAGTGTTGCACAAATCAATAAAAAGAAGTGTGACGGTCTCCACTGCAGTCCTGTTAGTATTTATATGGTTTAGCAATGTGATGACATCAGGCCTCCACCAAAATCCATCCAAAAAACCATTTCTATAAAATGGCCTCGTACTGCCCTTACAGGAACTGTGGTTCTTTGAGATATTTTTTCCATATAGATCCCTCTTAGGGTACACATGCAAGTCACGCAGGCAATATCGGAATCTTTGACCAACAGTGTCCACTGGGGCTGTGACTGTGTCCTGCGTGTCTTCCTGCCCCCGCCCCTCCTCACCTATAGAGCAGCCCCAACCATTTCTCAAATCCACTGCTAATTCCATGCAGTCGGAGGAGGCGTATCTGCTAGTTGGTAATCCAGTCCCCTGCCCTCATGGCAGGACCAAATACTATCTAGACCATCCCTGATAGACATTATCTAACCTACTCTTCAATATCTCCACAGATGGAGATTCCACAACCTCCCTGGGCAATTTATTCCAGTTTTTGACTACACTGACAGTTAGGAACTTTTTCCTAATGTCCAACCTAAACCTCCCTTGCTGCAGTTTAAGCCCATTGCTTCTTGTTCTATCCCCAGAGGCCAACATGAACAAGTTTTCTCCTTCCTCCTTATGACACCCTTTTTGACATCTGAAAACTGCTATCATGTCCCTCCTCAATCTTCTCTTTTATAAACTAAACAAACCCAATTCCTTTAGCCTTCCCTCATAGGTCATGTTCTCTAGACCGTTAATCATTCTCGTTGCTCTTCTCTGGACCCTCTCCAATTTCTCCACATCTTTCTTGAAATGCGGTGCCCAGATCTGAACACAATACTCCAATAGAGGCCTAACCAGCGCAGAGTAGAGTGGAAGAATGACTTCTTGTGTCTTGCTCACAACACAGAGTAGACTTTGGTAACAAACTAATATCCACTGGTCTGAACTCAAACCCATCCTGAGAAAACCAGAGAAGGCTTTAGTAAAAAGGAGGGTAAGGAAGATCTTCCGGTGGGATCACTACATGGCTATCTACATGAACGTCAAACATGCTGTCTGGAAGATGATGCAGGGGTTGGCGTTAATAGAAGAGGAGGGGCTGTCTTGTGGAAGGAACTAGAGATTTACTTTTCCAAGCTATACTTCCAAAAGCTCCCAGGTCATGTAGGTACAGCTTGGAAGCATTACTTGATCTGCGTGTCTCCCAGACACATATAGAGAAATAATTTAAATGATTCTTAGACCTTCCGATGAAAAAATGCAATGCACCATCATTTTATAAACACTGGCCAAGTGTTGTCCTACATGAGAGCGAGCGTCAGGATGAAGAGCAGAGAAATAGGATTGAGACAGTGCTAACATCTTTTCCTATTTTATCCTGACTGAAATGGGGAAAGAAAAGTTACCCATTTAGATCCAACAAAACATGGAGATGGTAATATGAGCTTTTGTGGGCACAGCCCACTTCTTCAGATGACTGGAGTTTTGGATGATCAAAACTCCGGTCATCTGAAGAACTGGGCTATGCCCACGAAAGCTACATGTTTTGTTAGTCTATACAGCGCTGCCAGACCATTTGTTTTTGAAGTTTATCCTGTACAGACTAACTCGGCTACCCCCTAAAGCTTCCATTTAGATCAGAGAAGGAAAAAATGGGGGGAGGAGGTGAATTTGCTGCTCAAACTGTACATTGGTAAGTTGTACGGAGCAGGAGGGTGACACCAACCTTAATAAGAAGAGCGCCAAAGCAAAATACCATAGGCAGGCAGCTCCTGCCAAATGGGACCTTTATTTTTAATTGGTGTCATTAAGTCTGAACTATCATGACCCATAGGCATTTCCTGTGGAATCCCACTTCAGTTTCCAGAGGAGCAGTGCCAACGCAGCTGAATAAACCCTAAACCACTTCCCTCTCTCAACCCCATTCATTTTTTTCTCCTGGCATCACCTTTCCCACAACTCAGAGTGGAACACACACCAAATGTCAGGCTCTTCTCTAAAGCAGGAGGTAAACAGTCAGGAGGAACTCCAGAGGTAAGTTAACCAGTCAGAAACTGATTGCTGTTCAGTGTCGCTCACATCCAATTGCTACAGTTTAGAAATATGCTTCCAAAAGAGGATGAGTTTATCTAACGAGTGGAGTAGTGGATAGTATTATAGGTTGAACCTCTCTAGTTTGGCACCCTTGGGACCTGCCTAGTGCCGAATCAGACAATTGGACGGACCACGGGAGGTCAATATTATCCAGCAGCATTACCAACACTACCACTGCTTACTCAGATGTTAGAAGGCATTTAGGGTAAGTTAGAGCTAAATAAGAGCACAGAACACTGACAGCCAAGACTGGTGGCTGTAAACAAACTTTATGGGTCCCTGGTAAACTTGTCCTAACCCATGAGACGTGGACATCCAGCGAACTAAAATGATGCCAAACCATCGATGCTGCCGGACCAGAGAGTGCCAGACAAGAGAGGTTCGACCTGTGCATTCCTTATTCCCAAGGATCCCCGGATGGGAGGGGGGGTAAGACAGGAAGAATATACCCCCAAAGAGCAAAGGTACTCCCCTGAGCTAGAGGACAGCAGGACAAGGGTGAATTCCAGTTGTAAAACCGAGCGCACATCCTGGGCAAACCCGTTCTGATATGATGAAATTCCCCTAGATGTGCCCACATCTTGGTTGTATAAAACTGTTCCCAAAACGTAAGAAGGGTTTTCACAACGAAGTCCGACACAGATTCCTTAGAGTAAATGAGTGGTAGTCCGGTCTCATATCCGAATCCACATACAATCACATCAATTAAATACAGCTCTATTTTATTTACTAGGATAGTGGCACCTAGTGGCCTCACTAGAATTCATTAACTTAGGCACAGTATATAGATCCCATGTACGTGTCTTAGTTTAAACAACTACCCACATTATACAGAGTTATCATTTGAACTGAAGCGCATTTAAGACCTTTCAGACACGTCATGTTAACACCAGGATAAAATTGTTGCCTTTCCTATGGTTTGGGACGTTATTTCTAAAAGAAATACGCTCTGGGGGAAGAACATCTTTCATACTCCATGCGTGTATGGGAAACACCACAATGCTGCCCACTTCACTCAATGCGGCTGTGCCTTGCTGCTGTAATACAAACAACAGTCATTTGGTTCACCTTACTGACATTTTTCATTCCTGTCGCAAGGAACATAATAGCCAGCGTATAAATGTGCTCTAGAACTATAAATATTCAAGGAATACTGACCATCAAATGACGACGACAACTGAGAAGGCAAGAGAGAAATTCCTCTCCGAGTACGAAACTCGAATTATTATAGAAATGCAGAGCAGTTGCCCATTGCTCCTAAAGAGCCTAACATTACAGTATTGGTCCCATTGCTTGTTTTGAAGCCCAGCTCAGTTTCCCGGGACAGGATCTACAAACATGACACAACAGGACACATTTTCCTGCCAGGACTAGTTTTTGTCCAGGAATGGAAGCCCTTACCTCCGTCAGCCCTGTGTTTTTCCTCTTAATAACGTTCTGCAAACAGTTGCTCAGCATTCGAGTCAGCAGCAAGTTGGTTGATTTTCGAATCATGTCGTCAACCTCCGTGGAGCTGGGAAAGGGTTCAGAAGTCAGTTTGGAAAGTGCTTCCAAGCAGAGGAAAAATCTAAGGCCCACATTGGCGTAGCACACGAACCCCTCACACTCATTACCCTCACTATACCCCTACCCCCCAGTGAGGCAGAGAAACACTTTGATCCCCATTGCACAGACAGATTAAGAGACTTGCCCAGTGTCACATGGGAGAGTCAGTGGAAGGGCAGGGAACTGAACTCTAGTCTCCTGAATCCCAGAGTCGTGTCCCCTTGCCTGGACTGACCATCCTCACTTCAGCGCTTGATTTACCCCATCTCCCACTGCCTTCAAATTGAAGCTGTGGAGATTTAGCACTTTTTGGGTGTGTCTACACTGCAGGGCTTAACTCAAAATAAGCAAAGCAAGTTGTGCTATGTCAATTGCATATCTTATTTTGAAGTAGGGAGCGTCTAGACAGTACTGATTTGGAAACAGAGCACCCTTCCTCCGACTTCCCTTACTCCTCGTACAATGAGGGTTACAGGAGTCGGAGTAAAAAATCCTTCCACTTGACAGTACTTTGACACTATTTCAAAATAACTTTCTGCTGCGTAGACACGGACTAAGTTATTTCAGAACAGCGCTCGTTCTTTCAAAATAATGTTGCAGTGCAGACATACCCCAGGTAAACCCATGTGCGCCCGCATGTGTCCATATTTATTTTTAGACTGCAGGTAATTACATTTTGTGACACTTAATACGTGGATAGGGATTAATATACATAGAACAGGTTTTTCCCTGGTGCTAGTTTTTCCTGCAATTCGTGTCACCCGAGCGGCGACATGCCAGCACAGGGTATCCCCACGGGTGCGTAGGAGAACGTCCCTAGACGCGGTTCCCTTCTCCTGCGGTCACCGCTCCCGTCTGCTGTGCTCACCGCACCCAAGAGCAGGACCAAGCACACCGCCTGAGGAACTACAGGTAGAAGGGAGAGGGTGGCTCCAAAGAAGCTCTTCCCCCTGCTCAAGCCGGTGCGCTGAGGAGTTATGGAGAGCGGCCGTTGCTGGAGGCAAGATTAGCTACCCATGGGGTGTTCCACAGAGCCAGGCGCACAGCAGGGACCAGCAACTGGCAGAACAGCGGCTGGTTGTGCCACGGAGGGAGAAGACCGATTCAGACCGGGAAGAAGAGCCCCTCCACCCAGATACCCACTCTGAACAGAGCCGCCCGGGGACACCTCCCTGCCAGCCCTGAGGAAACGTGCGCTGACTCCATTGCTCCAACAGAGCTGCAGGAACCTATTACGGTAACGCCCCTCCCCCAAGCATCCCGGCTCCCGACATTCGAGAGCCCTCCGAAGCCTGTTTTTGCATTTGCAATACACAGAGGTTTGCATCATTCCCCATGGCGGCATTTTAATGCACAGAGCAAAGCCACGGCTCCGCTGCACACAAACACGTTTGCTCCAAAAGCAAAGGGCC